CAGCATTTTGTGACATGATCAAAGTATGCGAAAAAGACAGAAGAAAGTAGTCCCTGTTTAGCTGATGGATTGCCAGGCTCACAGACCTGTGTGCATCTGAAGTGAATGCACACTCCAGGGCTTTGACTTAGGAGATGTACAACACAATTGGGCATATGAGTGCTTGTGCAGACACAAAGGCACGTGGTTTTGTCCACATGTTGTCCTTGGAACTTGAAAAGAATTTTTCTATAGTCATCTGCAAGTGTATTCACACTGTTCATTTCATATAGAAGGCCTAATGATGGTAGAGTGCGTGTATGTTAATGGTGTATGCTGAATGATGTACTAGCTCAATGCACAGCGTTTCTACACTACTTAGCGATTCTGTAGCTAGTGATAACACTGACAAAGGTTTACACATCAGCTCAAACAACATAGAAGTGCCTCAGCATCAGAAGTGGTGGTAAAACAGCTCCTACTCCCTTGGGCCCTGTAAGAGAAACAGTTTTGTCAGCTTGGGAGCAAAATAAACTAGTTTTCTGTATGTTACTCTTCATGGTGAATGTGCCATACAAAAAAAAGGAAACATGAATACTTTAATATTATGGAAAGTTACAAATGGCTTTAATCTGTAAGATATGAGAGAGAAACCTTGATGGCTGAATAGGTTTTCTGATATATAATAAAATGTGGCTCTTAGTGGAAGATTTTCCTATAATTAAGCATTTATAATGTCTTCTCCCTTTCTTTGATGTCTTATAAAATACAAACCCTTGCTGCAGCATTGCCCATCATGAGCATGCTAATAATGGCCTCTCTTCTTCCGCAGCCTATTTTCAAGTATCTTTATATGAACAAAATCATTGGAATCATCAATGAAATAAAAAATTACAAAGGTTGGATGGACAGTAGCCGCACCTAAAACATGATTGCCTAAGTCTTATTTTCTGAGGATACTGAGCTGAAAAGTGTCTCTGCTGCATTCTGACTCCTCCACAAATGATGAATGTGTGTAGTTGTAGAGGATGTGAATCAATTTCTCACTACTGAATTACTAATTCTGAATGAAAGAACTTTACGATCTTTTACTGATGGTTATTATTTTGAAAACTGATCCTGATAAGGTAAAGCTTGAGAATTAACAATTTACTTTGTCGGCAGCTTTCCATCCTCAGCCATTGTTAGGAATTCATTAAAAAAACCTTTGACTAAGATTTCTTTCCATGCTGTCTGGAGAGGTTTTCAGTGAAGCTTGGCTGGGGAGGTGGAGTGTTGGAATGAAAATATTTTGATTAAGAAAATGTGTTAGTTCTATGAAGAAAAGTATTTTGTGTTTAGCCTAAAGTTTTTCACCAAAACTGAAGAGAGATGTGTGTTCATCCTCCTCAAGTACTCAGCACACGCATGGGCTCAGGGTTCAAGCTGCTTACCTGGGACTAGCTTCTTTGGATTCAGATCCTGGCCTTGAATCTCAGTATACCTAAACATAAGGAGCGTATAGGTTGAAAAGGTGTAAATATGC